CTTCTCCTCCTCCTTCTTCTTCTCCTTCTCCTCCTTCTCCTCCTTTTCCTCCTCCTCCTCTTCCTCCTCCTCTTCCTTCTCCTTCTCCTTCTTCTCCTTCTTGCAATAATACCCAAACGAAGTATTTTATCTGTTTGGCAAGTTAAACTTTTCTTACCTTTAGTCAGGAAAAAGAAACAGAACCAGGGCTGGGCTGAGAAAATACACTTTGTCACCAACCATTTTAAAATAAAAAAAAAAGAGAGAGAGAGAGAGTCTCAAATGTTGTCTGCAGAAGACACCTGGTTAATCCTTTTACAAACCCTTTTTGCCTGATGTATCGTGATAGTGTGTGTCCCCTCTCGCTTCCGTAAACTAGCGATGAGCACAACTCTCTCTCTGTTCCTTGTTGAGGGCCTTTGTGGTTTTTGTTGTTGATTTCCTGGAAATATTAAGTCATTCAAGTTACAGGAAGAGAGATACAGTCTCTGAATGCAAGTTTCTCTATTTGGGGAGAAAGTCAACTGAAATACAAGGTAAAAAAAAGGAGTAGAAGCTTTCATTATTGTTAGCAGAAGGGACTTGCTAGCAATACCGAGGAGCCGTTAGAGCAGATTTATCCCTTGTTCTATTAATTCATTCAACGCGTGTATAGGATAAAGGCCGATCTGAATTCTGGCTACCTCAGTGGGAGCACACAGTTGGTCATGTTAACTTAAATTCCTTTGCCTCCGTCACTTAATCTTTCAAAATAAGGTTAAGTATACCCACCTACATGATTATTGCAATGAAATGTTAAGACATAGTGAAAATTCTTAGCTGACTCGCGTATCGTAGCCATTGAATAAATAAAATTGTTCCCTTGCTTTGTCCCCTCCTCTTTTTTCATATAGTGTGTTATTGATGCACTAAGGGGATAAAAAAGAGGAGTGGTCTAGAATGCAATTTGTAACTGGGAGAGAATTAGGAAGACAATAACAATATCCTGAGGGACAGATCAGGAAATTTCTAGGACAAACAAATTGATTTAAATGCTGCCTAAGGTGTAATGCTCACCCCCTCCAAAAAACAAAACAAAACCATAACCTCCCCCCCAAAGCCAAGACATTTGTTCCTCCAGGTTCTCCCATTTCAAATCTAATAATCAGCGGGCATGGGAGCAATGAAAACCAACAATCCTCAATATGCCTGACCCTCTGACCTCGTCCTCATATTTTCCCGGCTGTCACCATGCAATCTAACAACGCAGAGTCATGAGGAACAGTCGATAGGCTGCTGAGCAGAGCAATGAGACATTTCCCTGTCTGAGACTATTTCCCTTCCTACAGCTTCCTCGGGCAAGATGTGAGGAGAACTGTGTGAGTCCTGAACAGTAAGTATCTGAGACCCGACTGGGAAGCAGGAGAAACAGACAAAAACATTAGTACCCAAAACAGGGTCAAAGGGTCATCAGATATCTGTGACTTCCCTTTATCTTTACTTACACGACCATCAGCCCACTAATCACAGACAGGGTTATCCAAAAATAAAGACACGCACCAGGGTGTCGTCCTAAGTACTTAAAATAAAATCACTGACAGCATTTTTCCCCCCACGGCCAATCTCCTCCTTAAAACATCGGAATTAACCTCCATTTATATAGTCACAGAGATTTGCAAAAGGTTTTCTCGCCCATGCTTCTTCGTGACTCATCAAGACAGACTGGGTTCAAAAATCTCGTCCTGGGCAGATAAGTTTGGGTAATTCCAAAGTAGCATCACCACCTGAGGTATGAAAAGCATTTTCCGTATTTTAGGGCATTTCACTATTCTTTTTTTCTAATTTTTTTTTTATTAGTTTTCTTTATTTTTGAGAGGCAGAGAGAGACAGAGCGTGTGTGGGGCAGGGGGGCAGAGAGAGAGGGAGACACAGAATCCGAAGCAGGCTCCAGGCTCTGAGCTGTCAGCACAGAGCCTGATGCGGGCCCCGAACTCATGAACCGTGAGATCATGACCTGAGCCGAAGTCGGACATTCAACCGACTGAACCACCCAGGCGCCCCGGGCATATCACTATTTAATGCACATGTCATTTAGCTATGACTTTGAGGTCATTATCCCTTAATCTAAAACTATCACGATTAGGTCTTACATAGACACAGAGGACACACAAGGGGAAGAGATTCATTTCATTTGGAGGTAAATTACTTAAAAAAAAAAAAAAAAAAAAAAAAAAAAGAAGCAGGGCCAGTTGGAACAAAACTGTTGCTCAGCGTGAAGGAAAACACATATTTAGCCATGGGAAGGGTTTCTCAATAGCTAAGTCTGTTAAACCCAGGGGGAAATGGTGGTGGCCTTGACTGCTTGTCACACTGTCTGAGGTTTTAGACACCTACCAGTATAGGAAGAGTCCGTTTTTGTTTTTAGCTGTTATGTTCTTTATTATTATTTTTTCCATTTTTATTTAACTTATTTTTTAAATTTGCATCCAAGTTAGTTAGCACAGAGTGCAACAACGATTTCAGGAGTAGATTCCTTAATGTCCTTTACCCATTGAGCCCATTCCCCCTCCCACCACCCCTCCAGTAACCCTGTTTGTTCTCCATATTTAAGAGTCTCTTATGTTTTGCCCCCTCCCTGTTTTTATATGATTTTTGCTTCCCTTCCCTTATGTTCATCTGTTTTGTCTCTTAAAGTCCTCATAAGAGTGAAATTATATGATATCTGTCTTTCTCTGACTGACTACTTTCGCTTAGCATTATACCCTCTAATTCCATCCACGTAGCTGTGAATGGCAAGATTTCATTCTTTTTGATTGCCGAGTAATACTCCACTGTAGGGGTGGGTGGGTGTGTGTGTGTGTGTGTGTGTATTACATGGAAGAATCATTTTTAACAGAGTGAGAATTGTAACATTGTAGAGCAAGAAGAGGCTTTAAATAAATGGGGAATGTGAGAAAACCTACAGGAGACACTATGTATTGAAAAAGCAAACTATATGTTACAAATGTACAACTGAAAAGAGGAGGTAGAAGTGAATTTCAATGGGTTTCAATAGCTCAGTGTATCAGAAAGTATAATTAAATTTGTTTATCTTCAAAAAAATAAATTTGTTCCTCTTCAAAGATAAATAGTTCCTCTCTTTCCCCTTTGTACTCCTGAGCTTACCACACAATTCCTTCTCCCCCGCAATCCATATATTTTTCATCCCTAGAGAGAAAATTTATAATTGCCATTATTACTTCAGTTAATTTAATTAACTTCCGACACAGCGAAGTTGGGCTTGACAGTTTTATCCCTTCCCGTTTGGCTTCAGTGGGTGTGCATATCAGTTTTGATCATGGATGTGAAAGTTCAGGTTTTTTTCTTTTATGGTGAGAGTTTTTCTGGTGGCCCTTGCGACAATTGACAGCACGTAAATTACAAACTTCACTGCATTGCTTTCGTCTTATAACTAAAAGTTTCTTTCTGTTGAAATTTTACTGATCGCTAATGTATCCAAACGTCAACTTTCATATCCATTTTCAAACTTTGTAAACTCACATTCCAGGCTCTTCCCTGATAATTGTCCTCGTAACAGTTTATAGTGGTCACGACTACCATTTCTATAAACGCTGTTTTCATAATCACTACTCTAGTCGGTCTTATAGTGCTTTACAAAAGTATTTACACCATGCCATCTGTAGTATAAAATTCTTCTTAAGGCGTCCCATTTTGTAATATGTTCCGCTGGTTATACTGAAGTCACTATAACTTGTATGTTAACTAACTGGAATTAAAACACAAACTTAAAAAAAGTATACACACACACACACACACACACACGTATATATGTTGTGATGCTTTTATTATAACAAGGTAGCATTATCACATTGTAACTCATATTTCTGATTCTGGAACTACAATAGGCATTGACTATATTTTTATTACAGAAAAAAAAAAACAAAACCCTCCAAACACCTTTATTCTTTCTCCATAGTTGCCTGACCACAGATTGGGTACATCTCTGGTATATATGGTAAGTTCCAACTCTAATACCCAGAAAGACATCTCAAAGGAACTTTCTTTTTCTCAAGGGCATTTGTTTTTTTTTATCTATTTATTTTTTAGTTTTTAAATATACTGATGGCAGGAAAAAAAAAAAACTCATGAGACACCCAGTGTACTTAACCTTGCATCCCACGGAGTCAAGTTTCTTTACCTCATTGTTAACTATGTGACAATATGCCAGGATTTCCTATTTCAATACCTTCTCCTCGGCCAACATCGAAAGGTTATTGTGTATTTTCTCAGCGTTAGCTCCAGAAATTTCTACAGGAAGGAGAATACTTTCTACGGTAGAAACAGACCCTCCATACCGCATTAAATCTCTTCTGGTTTTAACGAACCGATTCAGTCTTGCTGACGAATAAGTATATGTGTATAAAGAAGTATTATGGTCATTCCATAAAATATTCAAACAAAGTCAGAGTGCAGACACTGAAGGCTGATTATTTCCCAGGGCTGGGAAACACACCAGACCCCAGGGCGGTCACTGCCCCGTGGTCATCTTGCAGGTTGCTGGTGGTCATTGGCGGGCTGCTGCTTCTGTGTGGCCTGACTTCTGTGTGCTTCCGCTGCTGTCTGAGTCGCCAGCAAAACGGGGAAGAGGAGGGCCGGCCTCCCTATGAAGTGACAGTCCTGGCTTTTGATCATGACAGCACTCTCCAGAGCACTATCACTTGTGAGTACTGTGACATTATAACACTGGACGGGGATTAAAAGAACCATCAGGACAGAGCAACGGATATAGACACAAGGACTGAATCGTATTTTTTAGAAACTGTTTGAAATTAAAAAAAAAAATATATATATATATATTTTTTTTTTCGAGAGAGACAGAGAGAGCATGAGCCAGGGAGGGGCAGAGAGAGAGAGAGAAAAAGAGAGAGAGAGTACGAAACAGGCTCCGCACTGTCAGCACAGAGCCTGACGTAGGGCTCCAACTCACAAACTGCGAGATCATAACTTCAGCCATGAGACCCTGACCTGAGCCAAAGTCAGATGCTTAGCCGGCTGAGCCACTCAGGCACCCCTGAAGAGTACCGAAGATTCTAGGATTCAGGGTCATTCTAATTTCAGGGAGCCTGACGGTGTGGTGACCTGGGCTCATGCTGATGCTGTCTTCTCCAGTAGTAGTCGGACTCATGATAGAGTGAAGAAGTAGAATGTTGGAGAAAACATTGGGAATGTTTCATAGGAAGAGTTACCCAGTCTATAAACTTATTTTGATAAAACACTTTTAAACCATGAGTGTATCCCCTTTTTCAAAAATGTCTTGGATTTTGTGAGAACTTGTATCTTCTATTACTAATTTATATTATTTTATCTCTCTGGAGAAATTAGCCACGCGTGCTTTCAACCCTTTGTTCTGTAGCGTATCTATGGATATACTTAAGGAGTAGCTTACCATTCCCTTGAGGATCATAAAACACTTTCCTTTATCTCCTTCGGTTCTCTTCTTTATATTATATTTATATAAGAGCCGGTGGCCCAACATTGTGATATTTATTTTGAAAAAAAATATGTTTGCTGTTCACCTTTCCTGCTTTTCTTATGGTCATTTTAGAGAAGAGAGAAATAAGATGGAAATAAATATTTCTAAGGAGTCTGCATTATCAGTGCATTGGTGTAAAGTCTATAAAAGGGAAAGGACGGGGCTGTGAGATATGGGAACACAATTTAGATGAGCCGAGGACCCCGGAGAAGACAGGCGCTCCTAGCAGAGTGAAGCTGGTTTCTAAACAGCCCTCGCGGGATTTTCATAACATCTGTGGCCGAGAGTGACAATGAGTTGGGACACTTGCTAAAAACGAAGGGAAATTAAGAGTGTTGTAAGTCCCTGATTTCTGAGGATGCCGCATTTTCTTTAGCTCTATTCCTTCTTTTCTCACCAGCCTTGCAGTCGGTATTTGGCCCTGCAGCTCGAAGAATCCTGGCTGTGGCTCACTCCCACAGCCCCCTGGGCCAACTGCCTCCCTCTTTGGACACCCTCCCAGGGTATGAAGAAGCTCTTCACATGAGTCGCTTCACCGTTGCAAGGTGTTGGCCAAAAACACCTGACCTTCCCCCAGTACCAGAAGAAAAGCAGCTGTCTCCAGTGGACGAGTCTCCTCGAGCAGGACCCTCTTCCAACTGATGGGAATTCTGATTTTATAAATGGGGTGGGGGGATCCCCAGCGTAGCCACAGAGAGACAATGGGACATTTTTTCCCCCTAACTTTTGGAAGATTTAGGATGACGACTATACATTATTCAGTGGGAAGGATGGCTTCCCACTCTTTGTTTCCAGCCACGTGTATTTTCTAACACGGAACGCTCTAACTGGGAACTCTAATTCTTTATCCAGTGGCCAGAATTTGCAACTAACCTCTAGCAATGCTGACTACTCCTGAACCAAGAAAGCATCAAAAGTACCTTGAATGCCTATAGCTATTGAGTTCCTTTGCCTATGGGATACTGCAGGTGGTTTTTCTTTCTGCCAGCTGTAACACAAGAGTAGATTGTGGTACATTTGAGGAGAAAGAGAAGAGTGTAGGCACAGCCATAGACATGAATGCACTGAAGCCGTGAATTCTTCCTCTTGAGAGAACATTCACTTTTCTACTGAATGCCAGTGACACTCTTGGCGTCATAATACCTAATACCTAAGTGGACCCAGGTAATCGTAATACCTAAGTGGACATTCAGGATCCAGGGGTAGGATTGCAGACACGGGCTAAGGGAACAGAGTACATACGGTATCCAAGTGCCAAATATCAAGGTCTTTCCTTCACCCTGGTCCTAATCTCTAGCAGTATGAGAAACTTCATGGAGTGCAGTAACACTTTCTATTAATTTCTCAGTGTTTCTGCCTTGCAAACACATGCACGCACACGCGCGCTCGAGCACGCCTGCACAGACACTCGCAGTCTTTTCTCTAAAAGAATGGCATTGTTTCGCTTTTCTCTTTCTGGCTGACCCCTTAAAGCCAGGTTATCTATAGTGACCCACACTAGTCTCTAGGAGTGGCCTTCACTGCCACCTCGTGGCCATGGTAGAAAATGTCGTCTCCTATTTGAGCCGATCTGCACCCCTCTCCAGTTCTTGGAGTAACTAACTGAACTCAGCCAGGATGGCATCCTGACGTGTCGTGCTAAGCTGTCCGCCTGAAATACTACTGGACAATTGGGGATATGATGTATTGTTACTGGACAACTGAGAAAGTAAAGTGTATTGGGGAAAAACTACTTGGCAGTGACCTTAGATATTTCATTGAAAATCTTTAAAGGAGTTTCCTCATCTGTAAAATCGGGGATAATAACACCTCCAAGGATTGTTGCGAGGCTCAAATAAGCTAGATACAAATGACAAGATTTGTAAAGTATTATGCACATGGATTTGTCGCTCTTGATATTGACATCTAATTTTCACCTGGCTACTATGATTCTGAGAATTGTGCTCTCGTTTGTTCTTTGGCCACCCAGCTTGTTAGGTTACCGCTAAGTCACGCTGGAAGTCACTTTTATTCGTCAATAAATATCTGTCGATTGAGGTTAACGACCAATGATATGTGATTCCTTTTAAAATAGTCTGTGTAGAGGGAAGGGATGTTTGAGAAAACTCATTTATTTGGCAATTAGCTTCATCACTGGGGGGAAGTCATAACCAGGGAAGAGATGATTAGGATAGCACCTCATTAAATACACCCTTGGAATGTTCACTCAGCCCAAGGGGAAAACTGTTCTAATTGAGTGTAACCTGTTGGAGATCTGAATTTATCCTGAGTCATTTATCACATTGCCTCTGGAAATTGTTAAAATGCATGAATTGTTAATAGACCCCCGAGGTGGCCTTGTTTTGCTGCTGCCAAAGGCATCACTTCATTATCACACATTCCATAAAATATTCTAGGCTTGTTCGTCCTTCAAGATACCACAGTCTTGAAGAAATTAAAATGTCATCCGGTAGAAAAAAATCTTGGCAGAAATCCTGCCTATAAATATCTTATTCTAAAGAGATCTCTCAGCCCTACCTCTCCCCTCTCCCTCTCCCCTCTCCCTCTCCCCTCTCCCCTCTTCTCAGACAGGCAGAATCTTCCATTCCTGTAACCCTCCCATTTTGTCAGAATATTAACATCCGCTTGGCTCTACTTCCTTCTCTACTCAATCTACCTGTTGATCAGTGTAATCACTAATTCTCAGTTTTGTTTAAACCCCTTCTTACTTTTCTCGCACCTATCCTTCAAACTTTAAACACTGGTTCAAGGAAGTGAGCGGATTTCTTCCCAAAGCCCACACTGCCGAGCAGTGCTGCAGAAAACTCAACACTAGTGAGAGAGGTCATGATAAGGTCATGGTCTCCAACACCACTTGAGTCATCCACCATTTCTTCTAGAGTTTCTTTATTTTATTTCTTTATTTTTATTTTTTTAATGTGAAATTTGTTGTCAAATTGGTTTCCATACAACACCCAGTGCTCATCCCAACAGGTGACCTCCTCAATGCCCATCACCCACCTTCCCCTCCCTTGACTGGAGCTTGAATCTGACCTTGACTCTGACTTGACTTAAGCTCACAGAGCTTAAGAAAAAGTCAAAAATACAATGGTAGCAAGCACGAATAGTGCAGAGAACCTGCATGAAGAGGCAGAATGAGGGAAGAACATTTTCAAAGATGGTGAAAAGTTGGATACGTGTGAGGAACTGAAAAAAGAGTAACTGTAGTAAGCAGAAAATGGAGTCTGAGAGGGAAAAGGAGTCTTGGGGGCAAGGAGTCTAGACTGTATTTTACATGCATTGAGAAACCATTGAAAATTTTAAACAGTGAGTCACTTGATGCAATTTGAATTTTAAGACAATGACTCTTGATGCTATAGGAGAATGGACTGGAGGAGGACAAGTATGAAAGCGTGAAGACTAGATGGGAGGTATTGAAGAAGAGTAGACAAGATGTGACTGTGGCTAGGGATTGTGACTGTGGACAGCCCATGACTGTGGACTAACATGGTGATGTTGGAGGTGGAAATAGAGATAAACGTAGGGATTTGAAAGACATGTTGGAGATAAGATCATCCATACTTGCTGACGGATTGAGTAGGGAAATGTAGTAAGGGAAAAGAGTGAAAAATAATTCCTGGATCGTTGACCTGAGCCAATCCATGGAAGGTGTAGCTGTTTATTAGGATGGGAAAGATTGGGCAAAACCAGGTTTAGGGGAAAACTCAAGTTACTGATTTCTAAAATGGGGAAGAGGCATTTTATTGACAAAATATATCCCAAGTTAATCTAAGGCAATGCCTACTTCACTAAAGCAGCAAAAAAGCACAGATGTGCCAATGAGAAAAATCAAAAGTTTTCCTTGAGATCGAATGAGGAAAGTCTTAATTTGTAAAACAAGAAGAGAAAAAGAAATTCCATATGAGGCCTTTATAATTTGCAGTATTTGTAAGATAATCCACTGTAAATGGCAGGGATTTTTGGATATGCCTATCTGGGACAGAGGGGTCTGAATAGGAAGATAAAAGTTCAGAACGCATCCAGTTAAAATGTCTATTTATATTGTGGAAATAATTCCAAATGGAATCGGGAAGTCTTGGAAGGGGAGCTCTCCTGCGTGTACCCTCATTGTAGCCTACATAACCAGCAGGAAAAAGGAAGATAAGAATTATTTTAGCAAATAGGACATTATAGCTCCTGATTTTTAGAAAAAGAAGGGAGACCCCTGCCTACCCCTGTAAGAAACAAACAAACAAACAAAAACCCACTAACCATCGCTTGCAGATGAGAAACTGCTACAATCTCAAACTCTTATCCTCCCAATAAACTTTTGTTCCAACAACCATTCCCAGTTTCCTCCTAAAATCTAATAAAAGCTGACCTTCCTTTCGTCTCTTTGGACTTACCTGTGATTCACCATAGCTTCCTGTTCTGAACAGCAATTCCTCCTCTGTACCCAAATAAACTCAGTTTTTTACTTAAATAAAATTCTCTTTGCTATGTTTAAAGTTAATAATATATGGTTGACCCTTAAACCCCAATTGGAGTTGTGTGGACCCACTTATACACGGATTTGTTTCAATACAATACAATACAATACAATACAATACAATACAATACAATGAATGTATTTTGTTTCCTTATGATTTTCTCAATAACATTTTTTTCTCTAGTGTGCTTTATTGTAGAAATAAAGTATATATATAATATATATAGCATATATATAATATATATATGTAGCATGGGAAATATGTGTTAATCAACTGTTTATGTTACTGATGAGGCTTCCAGTCAATAGTAGGCTATCAGTAATTACATTTCGGGCAAATGAAAAGTTATGTATGGATTTTTGACTGCGTGGGGGTCAGCACCGCTAACCCCTCCCCTACCCCCCACACTGTTCAAGGGTCTACTGTATATGGGTATAAATGAGATAATTAACTCCCCCTTCTTACCATCGTCCTTCTTCTTCCTCTTTCTTGGTCTTACTTTTTACTGGTTTCTTTCCTTCTTTGTAATACTTGAATATGAATCATACATTTTCAAATGAGGAGGGCCTAGGTTTGAAGAAAAATGTCACAGGGTTAAGGCTTACACTAAGCAATTCAGATACTGAACTTGAAGACAATGAGGGTTACTTAATGTTTTATTAGCAGGAGAGTTCCATAATGTGATCAACATTTAGAAAGGTATCTCAGTGAAAGTTTGAGGTCTTAGCTGAAACGTAAGCAAGTCAGGTCTTCATTTCAGCCAGGAACGTATCGTAAAACTCCCAGTGAAAGGTGGTCAGAGTCTGAAAAGGAACACTGGAGGTGGTGATGAAAGGGACTATAGTTTTATCTTCTTGTCAGCAGAATTCCAGGTTCTTTCGGTCTTTCTCTAGATCGTCCTTCTGACTTCAAGCAGTAGAGATTCTCTCCCACCCCCCTTTTTAGCCCAAATGACACAAGATTTATAAACCTTCTGCACCCTGCAATGAAGCTGCAACTGTCCGTCCTCTACGGCTTACTTTAGGTTTCTTGGAGTGATTACACTCCGCAACCCCTCCCCTCCCCAACTTTTTCCATCGCTTTTCACTTGCCCCAGCTGAAACTTATACAAGGGACAGTGTCTAGTGGGATATCAGTATCTGAGAGGAGGTGTCTGTCCCTACATAGTGGGAGGAGGAGTTGTCTCCGACAGCGCAAAGCTCTTAATCCAAGAGGGAGACCTGAAAGGCGGACGTATATTGATTTACACAAGGACACAAGGACCATACAGGCTCTCCTTCTTGGGGGAAGATGGGTCGGAGAAAGATTGACTGGGCAACGATGACTAGTTTTATCTGTGGTTTGGAGGCAAATAAAACAGTACAGGATGACTGTGTAGGAGAGGACAAACAATTGTCCCTTCACCTTTCTAGGTTCTTGGCTGACACACCTCAGTATTAAAAAGAGAAATTAACGAAGGCAAAGGTAGAAACCTAATAACATGTATACCTCCTGTACACATGAAAGAGACCCAGGAAGATTGAGTAACTCCCTGAAATGGCCCAACCACCACCTTAAATGTCATCTCCAGCTAAAGACAAAAGAAGACTGGGGGGCGGGGGGGTATGAGAAGTCACCAGGAAAAGCCCAGTTAAACAAAAGTACGGTTGTTAAGCAGATTTATGTCACTGTCTTCTCCACTGATGAGAATCTCTCAAGATTTAGTCATCTGCCTCTTCCTGATACGGAAAGGGAAAAACACTGGTACACCTGTACGTTTACCTTATAAATGTAAATGTCTCTTACAAAACTTTTGCTCAGTTTTCAGAGTTATCCCGTGTCTGCTGTCTCTTAAAAGCAACCGGCTTCGGACAATCCTTAAGCCAAAGAGACATATTTTGAGGTGGCAATTCTACCACCTTTCACCTGCTTCCAGTCCCCATCTAGACCATGAAGTACAGTATTGAATCTTACTGAGTTGGCCTTTTGGTGTGGTCTATAAGACCTTTATTAGAGGGTCTGATTAGCTTATACATTAAGGGTAAACTTGTATACGAGGGTATGGAAATAAAGCAAAAATGGGATTTATGTAACAAATTTAGGAGGCTGAGGAGAAAAATTGCGAAGTCTGAAAATGGCAAGTCTTATTTTCTTTTCCTTGGGTAAGCAGATTGTCTGGAAGGCAATAAGGAGGCCAGGATGGGAAGTTTGCCCTTGAGCTGGCAGACTGACTGGGAAGACAATTACAGTGATATATGGATTGCCCAAGATACACCGAGACTTCAATTATGGGAAATATTTTACATGCTGTCTCTGAATAATGTTGGCCAGTGTCCCTCTTGGCACCTTTACCTTAGTTAACCTACAATTGCACTATTTCCCATCTCCGAATTCCTCATAATTTGAAGAGTTTGGAAAGAGTATCATGAACATGGTAACACTTGAGTTGAACTCTAAAGGATGATAGAATTTTAAACGTCAAGTACACAGTATAAGAGCATTCTTTTTTCTTGTCTGTGAGTTGAGAAAAGCTGAGAATGTGAATCACGGAGAATGCTAAACATTCCAAGAGTGATATAATAGGAAAGA